TTTCCACACGTAAAAAAAAAAGGATCCGTGTCTGCGCATTTCACCTGCTACCTCCGACATCGATCGCGTTCTACGGTCAAGATTGCGCACCCCAATCGTTGGTAATCGCGACACGAATCGCATTGTGTCTTTCACACGTACTGCGCGCTTGCGTATCGATTCTCTCTCGTTTATACACGATCGGTTCGTCGGTTAGTCGTTCTATTTATACACGGCCGATTCGACGGTTCGCGAACAGTCGTCAAGATGTTTCTGGCAATGCTGGACAGGCGCGATATTCTCGAGTGGTCTCCCGAACAGTTACGTTTCGTGTCGAAACACGTTCTGTTAGTCTAGTTCGGCGACTACGTGGACCGGTTGTGAGATAAACTGGACGTTACGTTGAAAACCGATCCCGAGGTGCAAGGGTATCGCGCGTGTCGCGAGCATTACAACCAACCCTGGCAGGACACGCACATCGACGGTCCACCACCGCTCGTTAAGGATTGCGCTCAATGTCAGAACGTGCGAAACAAATAGGCGCCGGTCTATTGAACAGAGCGATAAACGCGCTTCCGTTCGAACTGCATGTGCCCGGTTATCAATTTTGTGGACCTGGAACTCGTCTCGACGAACGGTTGCAGCGCGGTGAGCGAGGGGTGAATCCGTTGGACGCGGCGTGCCGCGAGCACGATATTGCGTACTCGCGAAGCAGCAACCTTGTCGATCGTCACGCCGCCGATCGAGTCCTCGCTGAGAAAGTGCGCGGTCGTATCACAGCGAAAAACGCGATCCTTGGCGAGAGAGCCGCGGCGACCGCTGTATGGGGTGCTATGAAGGTAAAAACGAAATTGGGAATGGGTATGAAGAAGAGAGGAAGGAAGAGGGGAAAGAGAGTATTGCCAGCGGCGAAACGCGGAGGCTTGTTGCCCATTCTGCCAATACTAAGGATCCTCGGGTCCTTGATTGGTGGAGCCGCCGGTGTAGCGAAGGCCGTGAACGACAACAAAGCCGCACGACGCCAGTTAGAGGAGCTGCAACGTCACAATCGAACGATGGAGGGTCGCGGACTATACCTCGCACGGTACAAAAAATACGGAGGTGGTAGTGGTGGGAAACGTAAAACGAAACAAAAAAAACGTGGACGGAGACGCTAGAGGCGCTCAATTTACCGATGTATGACGTCACGACGAGCGGACAATTGAGTCGAGCGGCGCGTAAACTACGCATACCTCACTTTCGAGGGGTGTTTATGCGCGACGATTTACCCGTGAAAGCGCGACGTGAGGAGTGCGGCATCGTGAATCTCGATAACATGGTGGGTCCGGGTACGCATTGGGTTGCATATGCGAAACGATGCTGTGTACTTTGACAGTTTCGGAAATCTTCAACCTCCGCGAGAACTAGCGCGCTATCTAGAGGACGTAAACATATCGTACAATCATCGGGCGTATCAAACGTTCAGTCAAACTTTCTGCGGTCAGTTGTGCCTGCGGTTTCTGTACGAATTCGATTGGACGACAACAAAAAAACAACAAAACCGTAACTCCATTCGAGATACACCTCAGTCGACACTCGACCGTCATGTCGCTGACGCTCACGCTGACGGGAACGAGCGGCGTTCTCGTCGCGAGCTATTTTCCCACTCTCGATCTCAGTGACGGTGAATACGAGTTGGGCCTTGCAAATTTTGAGACCTACAACACGATACCGAACGTCAATTCGACGAACGATACATTCTATTTTGGTGAGAACGACGAACCGATCGTCATTCCCGAAGGATCGTACGAATTGCGCGCAATCGAACGGTATCTCAAGGCCGCGATTATCGACAGACGACAACGACAACGGCGGGACAAGTCCACGGATGACGATGAAAATCTCAACGAGTATCGCGTGTACGACACAACGATTACGACGTCGACAACGACGACGACGACGACGACGAGGGGAAGGATAACCAATATACTATCGTTCTTCGTGCCAATGAAAATACCATGAGGACCGAGATAAAATGCGCGTATAGAGTAAATTTTACAAAACCGAACAATATTGGCTCCTTATTGGGTTTCTCGACAACGCGCGTATTGGAACCGAACAGATGGTACGTGTCGGACCAACCGATAAATATCATGAACGTCAACGTCGTACGCGTGGAATGCAACATTACCGCGGGGGCTTACAGCAACGACAAACCGGTACACGCGATACACGAATTCGTGCCGAATGTTCCGCCGGGATATAAACTGTCGGAAACGCCGACGCAGATCATTTATCTACCGGTCATAGTGAGGAACGTGACCAATATAACATTGCGAGTGGTGGATCAAAACGGACATCCGATTGATTTTCGCGGGGAGGAGATAACGATACGATTGCACGTGAGAAAACGCGTAGCGTGAGATATGCTCGTTGTTGGTGATTCGCGCGTGAAAAACGAGTCTGTTCCGTACGTTGACAAGAGAGGAGGAGGAGGAGGAAGACGGGGACAGAACAAAAATCAATTGAGCGCCGCGAACGTCGCGTTCCTGCGATCGCTCGGTTTCATTGTGAGAAACAAGAATTATGGTGGTCGACATCCTGAGCATCGGAGGTGAGCCGATTTTCGACGAGCGCATCGTCAAGATCGAGACTCACGCGTACAACCCTTATGCCAATGTAACGTTCGGATACAGCGATGAAGTACGAATACCCATACAGCAGCAGGATCTGTACACTCTACCGTGCAAAAGCGCTCTATACGTGGAGGGAAAATTGTCCGATGAGGCATCGACGACGACGAATCAGACTTCAAAACTTGCGAGCAACTGCGTGGCCTTCATGTTCGAGGAGATACGTTACGAACTCAATGGCGTAGAGATCGATCGAAATCGCAACGTTGGAATAACTAGTACGATTAAGAATTAAGCCTCCGCTACAATGATTCTCGGTTCTGTCTACAATGGTCGTACAGTTGTATCGATGGTCGCTTGAGCAGTCGCAAAGCAGTCGTAGTCGTAGTCGCTCGAATAGGTTCAATTCCTATTCCAACGACCACGACTGCGATTTATTGCCGCGACGGACCAATCAGAGAATAGTGATATATGTCGTGTGTCATTATATGTCTAATACATCGTGGGAAAATACCTCAAAAACAGAAAATCGGTTTCAGTTATACATCGAAAATAACATTATTAAAAAAATGGATTTAGACGAATATGATCTCGAAATACAAAACGAGCAGGAAGCAATTTTATATGAAAACTCTTTAAACGAAGTTCCAACAACCAGATTGAAAGGTTTTTATAACCTAGAAGATAAAGTACAAGAAGATTTGGATTTGATTGCACTTGTTGAAGGCAATCCTAAACTCTACTCGAAAGGAAAGGCAGGTTATCGCAATAGACTATGTGCATGGGGGCGGAGTCATGACTAAATCAGACACGAGCGCTTGCGGCGGGCATAATTGAAAGTTGTGGACCTTAATTTTTCTATGTATTCAGTAGTGAAAATTGTAAAAATCTACAAAAATTCGCACTGTATTTAAAAATCAGATTTACTTGTGTTGTTCATTGAACATAAAACGATTTATTGGTACGCTGTCCATTTTTTGTCACCCGCGTTTCGTTTGGAAGTGCAAACTCGACGTTGTATAGTGCTTTTAGGTTATAAACGAAATATGGGAAAAACAAAGCCACCTGCAAATAAATGTTGTGTTCCAGGCTGTCGTGTTAGTGACAGTTCCTGTAAAATAAAGTTTTACGGATTTCCTGTACGAAAGCATAATCTTGAAAAACGATCAAAGTGGATAAAAGCGTTGAAAAGAGTCAAGTAAGTAAGAACATGATTTTAATGACAATTTACTTGGAAGTTATTGTGCAACAAATCTATAAAAGTCATATTTCATTATACTCCAGTGTCGATGGTAGTCCGTGGGAGCCGAGTTCAAGGTCGCGTATATGTAGCCAGCATTTTGTAGGGGGAGAAAAATCGGAACATCCTTGCAGCCCTGCATACCTTCCGACGATATTTCCGGAAGAATATTACGGTAAACAAAAGCATTCCGAAGCAGCGCTATTAAGAGCACAAAACAGGTATAGAAAACTTAACCTTCAGTTTGCGAAAGGAAAAAACACGTTTTACACTTATTTTTCGATCATAGGTTCACGAGAGCAATGCAGAGGTGCCGAAATTCTAACAACTCCAAGGATAAAGACGTTCAGCAGTTCACAGATATAGGAGAAGGAAATAATATGGAGCAAGATATTATTAGTATGCAGCCACCGAAACAGCGGTTCTGCGAATCTGCGACCCAGGTCGATTTTTACAACGATGAACTAACGTCAACCTACATAAACATGTTCGCTTTTGTACGTGTGAATGGGAAAATCTGTGAGGCTGGAACCCAGGCGAATATCTCATTTGAAAAGCCAGTAAAAAAAATTGTTAACTCCAAGAGCACGGTTGAAAAAGGATGTGGACCTACCATAGAATACGCAGACAAACAAGTTGGGCCAAATTCCTTGGACGATGACGAAGAATCATTACTGGCATATAAACGGAGATTCCATGGTTTTTCATCTATTAAAAACGAACAAGATTTAATTGATCTTGCGGGAGTGACGTTCGGTCGATTCAAATTATTAATGAAAGCAGCCGGAAACTGTTACACAGGCACAACTTCGAAAACTGATTCGCTTCTCATTTTCCTGATTAAAATGAAAATTGGGTTAACGTATTCGTCTATTGGTATTTTGTTCGGTCTTCATCGAACAACTGTATCGCGAATTTTCCACGCGTATTTAATGTATCTTGCCAACTCTTGTAAAAATTTGATTCAATAGCCTTCAAAATTCATCATCGAACAAACAATGCCCGAATGTTTTAAAAATACATATCCTAATTGTCGTGCAATAATAGATTGCACAGAATTTAAAGTTGAAGAACCGCCGGAAGTCTCACAACGTGTTTTTTTTTATTCTAATTACAAACACGCTTATACTGTCAAAATTCTAGTGGCGTGCTCTCCAGGAGGGGAAATAATTTTTGTGTCCAAGTGCTTCGGTGGGCGTACAACTGACGCACAGATTACGAATCAAAGTGGGTTTTTGAATCTGGTTGAGCATGGAGACATGATAATGGCAGATAAAGGCTTTCCGGAGATAAAATCTACTCTAGATGCGTCAGGGAAAAAAGTAATTGTAGTTATGCCACCATTTTTAAAAATGGGACTTTTACAGCCGATGAAGTTCGCAAAACGCAGAAAATCGCTGGCGTTAGAATACATATAGAGAGGATAATGCAGAGGATTAAAACTTACAGAATAACTGTTAAATTTCCAGTGTCTGAATTCATGCATTTAGATAATATAATATTTATGGCCTGCGTGTTGGTAATCTTGCAACCACCAATTATAAAAACTAATGATTGAATCATTGAAAATATATCATTGAACTTTTTAATGAATAAATTGTAATAAACATACTTCATGTAACTTCATTTCCTTCCTTTATTCATATGATTTATAAAAATATTCTACTTTGTATTTCTTATGTTTAAAAATTTGTACATGACTTGTGTCACAGCGTATTGCTTTTCATATTTTTAGTACATACAAACAGGTAACAGTACATGTTTAATTTGTAAATTAACCTTACAAATCCCTTAATATCTTAAACTATTCTAGTAATAATGAGGTACTTTCTTTATTGCAATACATACTTATTTCAAACTAAAAAACAGAATTAAAGTTATTCAATCTTTAAAAACAAAATTAAAATTATTAAAAATTTCACAGGCACTTTGATAACAGCCACGTTTTTAAACTCTAAAATAGATACTAAAATAGATAAAATAATTTTTTATTTAAAATATCTGAATCTTTGGATAGCATTATGCCTACTGTTCTTTGATTTCATTGCATAAAGCTGGCAGATACTTATTAAAATAAAATGATTCAAGACGAGGAATTAAATCTAAAAGAAATTCGTGGTCAATGTGGACCTCTAAAACATACGATCCATGTGGAGACCACACATACAAATCGCACACTGTCAGCCCAGTAATAAACATTTGTAATTGACACTGACAAGGGAACGGTCGGAAGTGTCCCTCACCGATTTGAATGAGCTTTGGATATGTTGTAGAACATAAAAAAGTATTAGACCCGTATTTTTGTTTATCGGCTTATCTCGACGTTTA